CCCAGATATGTCCAGCTCGATGCTCTACACCTCACCTGCAGATGACTGTCTACCAATGGGCTGGGCTTTGAAAAGATCTAAGAAGACATTGCGATTCAGTGACCGACAGAAACTTTATCTTAACGACAAGTTTTTAATAGGACAGGCAACTGGCCACAAGATTGACGCAGGGACTGTATCGCGCGACATGAGATATGCTAAAGACAGCAATGACAACAGGCTGTTCACGATTGATGAGTTCTTAACACCACAGCAAATACAATCGTATTTCAGTAGAACAGCTGCAAAGCTGAAGGGCGTACCAGTAGATACCTTAGCTACTGATGCAGCGGAAGAGCAATTCGCTGCAGCTACAGAGGAAGAAGGCTATCAATCGACGCGAGAGGTCATCCAGCAAGTCATCCAGCAATGTGGGCTTCTACATCCCATTACATACGAGACCTACAATCTTTGTCGGCTTAACAAGTCTAATGGGCTTAAACAATTAAGTATTAACATGCTTGCTAGCATTTGTGAGTATTTTGATATAGATACGGATAACATCACCAGTCGTCGAAAGGCCCCTTATATCGATCTTTTAAGGACAACTTTACAGTCGTGTTCTTGTGTACTGGGATCCGTTTGATTGATTCATGGTCAGAATTATAAAGAAAATCAGTATACAGCCAAGACCGCTATTATTATTTTATAGATCTTGCGCTTGGGTTTCCTGTGTGTAACGCAATATCGTGCTATTTGTTTGTAGTTCCGATCGCGGCAAATGTATAAACTCTCGCTATCGAAAATCGCGCGCCAAATGAATGGAATCTATCTTGTATTTTTGGTAAGTTCTAATTAACTGCTAAATAAWTATAAAATTAATGTTTAAATTCCTAAGAATTGCGTGTAGCGAGATGGAAAATCAAATGAGTTTCGTTCGTTYAACTTTGTTAGAAAATTTTACTATTTTCAGTGTGAAATGAGTTGCTCCAGTTTAAAATATAATTTTTAATTTCTCACAAAATGCAACTGAAATGTGTTAAAGGTTATAAGAAATAATTTKGCTAGTCCGTTTTGATGATCTAAGTCATTCTACGGGCAAAGGGATTTTTTCACTACGCTGAAGACGCGAGTTTGCGTGACATAACAATACCGTAGCGCGTGGATGTTTGAGATTATGAGCCTTTSAATTTTCGACTCTCTGAATCCTGTTTTCAACTGGCCCCAAAATTTTATCTTACATTTCGAAAGAAGACATGCCCTTCGTTGTTTCAGAAGTCTTTTTTTGTATTGGATCGACATACCAGTGGAGATAAGCAGCAGTAAGGGGGACCCGCGGCCACCCCCCGGAATTACATGGGTATTACCCGCCCTCACGTACGTGCGTTCGCCGTGGGTATTACCCGTAAGGTCCCTATGTGTCTGTTCGCATTACTGAGTTAAAATATTTGTGTCGCAAACGAAGGTTAAAATATTTCCTAGATATAGATGGACGCCATCAAAAGCATTCAAAACAAAACTGTACGCAAGCTGCGAACCCAGGTATTAGATCGTTTGGACGCCGACTTCGCCTTCACGA